ACAAAGCCAGATCAAATATCAAAATTTCTGTCTGAAAAGTTGAAAACTATGGTAAAAAACATTAACCAAGCAAGTATGGAAATGCTGTGCCCACTAGTCAAGAAAATTAATCCACTGCATAATGAACAAAATAAAATTAATTCATTTCTAAACAGACAGAATGCTTCAAAAGTTTTGATGCATGTCAGAAGAGTGTTTTTCCTCTTGGCAGGGAGAAATCTGATCATTAAAGAAGTGTCTGGAGAGTTGGCAACTCCATTATAGAAATAGGAGCTCAGAAATGTTTCTAGCTACCTTTGGTAGATTTCAAAYAGATCAGGGAGAATTCCTTCACGGAAAGGGAGCTTGGRCATTGGAATGGGCTGCCTAAGTAGGTGGTGGAGTCACCATCCCTGGAGGTGTTTAAGAAAACATGGTGTTTAAGAAAACACTCAGTGCCATGGTCCAGTTGAACTGGGTGGTGTTGGGTCAGAGGTTGGACTCAATGATGTTAAAGGTCTGCTCCAAATGAATTGGTTCTGTGATTCTGTAAAAGAGAATTAACAAATATTCATTGGGGTCTCCTTTTCTGTTCCYGCTTAGGAAGTAACTGAAAGAAAAATAGGTTGCTCTGAGCAAAGTGTAGACCTGACCATAACACTACTAAAAGAAGTAGAAAAGCAAACCCATCTGGAATATATGAAGATTAGCCCCATTTACATCCCAATTAATCTGCCACAAATTCTGTGTAATGACACAAAATTGTAAATTCCTATCTTCCCTGATGTTTGGCACATTCTGTTTCTCATTAAAAGGAATTAGGTAAAAACAGTTAAATTTCTTGACTTCTGTTTTTTAAACTTTCAGATCTTCTCTGAATAATACATGTTTTGTTAGAACTTTGGCATCTCAGGTTTCCAGAGAATGCCATGGTTTTAGCTAAAAAACAAGAGCCAAAGGTGATTTGATGAATTGTGCTGCATTTGCTCATTACAGTAACTGGTACAGACAGCAAGAACGGTGGCCTTTCTCTTGTGATGGCTGCAGCACAAGGCCCAGTGGAATAAGATCTGCTCTACAAAAGCCAACTCAGCTCCATGGTGGGGAAAAAAATATTGGGTCTGCTTTATATATGCAATCTGATGTTAATTTGAAATGACATTTCACCTTGTAATGTTTAACACACACAGGCAAAATTGAGAAGTGTTAGCAAACACTTCAGGTTTTAAGAAAATGTACCCTACAGTTCAAAAGTTTCTGACCGATTTTCTGACATGAAGAGATAATTCTAAYCATTTTAAAATGTTTCAGGAAGCAACATATGGTATGCATGTTGATGTATGCTGTGACAAAATTCAAGGTTGCAAGTGGCAAATCTG